CCCCAAAACCCCAAAACCCCAAAACCCCAAAACCCCTAGTTGTTATAAAAATAGATATTTAATAAATTATAAAAATGTCACAGGAAGAAACTAAACTGTAAGTATAAGGTTTGTTTTGAGACTGCTTGAGGAGACTTAGGAATTAATCATTGAGTCTTCAGCCTCTTTTTTTTGTAAATATAGACCCTGAGTGGGATTAGGTGATGGTTAAATGATAAAATAATGTAAAATTTAATGTATTATGAGATGGGAGTTTGCTCGGTTTTATAGCAATAACATTGATTTAGAGGAGCAAAGGAGCCGAAAAGACCAAAAGGACTGATGAATAGAAGAAAGAGAGTTGAGTTTGAGAAAAGGTACTATCATAAGTTATAATGAGTATACCCTTCCTGTTCTTCTTCCTCTGACCCAAACCCTCACTTGTGCACTACAGGCTTTAGGCTTTGAGAAGTCAGCGGGTGGGAGGACTGGCTGGGCGAGGGGGAGGTAGGGTGGAGAGGAAGGGTGGAATAGAGGAAGGGAGATTGGGGGTGAGAAGGATGGGGTATGGGGGAGAGGGTGGGGTAAATGGGGATTAGTGGTGGATAAGGTCGTTAGAATAGGGATTTTTGGAAGGAATGAAGAGTTTTGGTAAATCTGTTTTGGGGGCTCATTGGGTTTATATAGTAAGAAATTTTCAAGGAAATTTATTGGGGCAAGATCGAGAAAGCAAGAAAAGAGAAAATTGGTTAGTTTTGATTTTGAAAGTAAGTATAATTCTGCTGAATTGCCTGGATGATTATGGTCGTATGTATAATTGTACATTATAGAACTTTCTACAGAGAAAGATGCCAAAGAGAAAATTGTAGCTTACACTGCAATTAGTCAGTATAAAGAGGAAAAGCGAAAGGATACCTTTACGCCAGGTATTTTTATATAATCTTTAGAAGAAGAAAATAATGTTATGCAAATTTCATCTCAGGATCATCCTTTAATGAGTATTGATGAATTATTCTCAATAAATAATGAGGACGAAAATCCGATCAAATCCTGAGACGAGAAAATTTAAAAATCGAATTGCTGAAATCGTGAAGTTGAGAATCCAACAAATTAAGAAAAGCCAGAATTTACTCTATTTATTAGTTAATTTGTTGAAAATAAATTTCTCATAATTTGGTAAACTTTGAAGGTTTCAATAATATTACTGAATTAGGGGTTTTGGGGTTTTGGGGTTTTGGGGTTTTGGGGTTTTGGGG